GTGTGAAGTCGGCCGTTGCATCTGTACAAACACAATGTTCACATTCTCTCATGTACTTACAGTATTGGTCACGTTGAGATCAGCCTGGTTGTGAATGAGCAGATATACAATTTCGTAATGACCACCTCTACACCCCATATGTCAGAGCGGAATGTGCAGAATTATTTCATCCATAATTCTGCAAATGAATTACATTTACATGTTTTATGCCATGTATAGTGATGGTCACATGTTACTAAGTCACACATGTCTAATGTATGAAATAACCATCATTTACCAGTAATGGCATTTTCCTTTCACATGTGAAATTGGGCCCTAAAATTCACCTGTCACACAAAAAATCATGACCATAGCATGTCCCGGACAAAAACCGGTAGTTCTACTGCAGTACCAAGGACAGTCCCTATAGAATTTATAAAACTTTCGCCAACTTACCCGGCCGAACAAATAGTGAGTTGGTAACCTCATGTTGACGTCCACCCCTTCCTCTAGCCCTCTCCTCACAGTCTCTACATCCCCATACCATACAGCCAGGAAGAACTGCTCCTCGTCCATGGCCGGATCTTTTTCTGCATGTCATAGTTTACAGGAATATAGACAAGAGTTAGAAAACTTAACTATCAATTAAACCCACAATCCATTATCCAATTTGATAACGTATAAAAGAGGAACTTTACTATCATTATCGACCGTTTTGTGCAACCCGTGAAATACTTAAGCAATAGATCGTAAAGGCAACGCTTCCGCTATATAAAGGCTATACCTTCCAATATCACAACATGAATCTTGCACATATCGCTTTCCACACCATGTTGTTTTTTCTCCGTTCGATGGCATATTGTTTATGAATATATCTGTACACACACACACACACACACACACACGCACGCACGCACGCACGCACGCACGCACGCACACACACACACACACACACACACACACACACACACACACACACACACACACACACACACACACACACACACACACTGCATTGCTATTAGCAGGAAAACAAAGACCGTTTTATTGTGCACTAGTAACTAAATATAAACATAAATCTGGCGAATTCGTTGCGCTTACCGCGTTGACATAATTAATAACGTCAAAACTAACGTACCTGTTTTATATTTAGTCACACTGTCGGCAACTCACGGTTGTCATAGTGAGGAGTTTGGTTTGATTTTTAACCTCCGTGGTGAGGTATACTCCAGTCAAAGTCCTGTGTGGGCAGTTCTCATAACTGTAGTGATCCCTCAATTGTCACACAAGCTTAAGACTTGAATCGGGAAAAGTAGGTTTTCTACCCGACGTTCGGTAGTTCCTGACTTTGAGTCTAGGCCCGTAAAAATTCCAGTGTAAGTTTCATTTGATAAGCAGCACTGATTTCAGGATATTATGTGACAAACTAATTCATAATCGTGGCTAGCCTTATGTGAACAACTATTTTTAATCTCCAAGCAGATCTTTGGGTGGCTGCAATACAGTATCAAGTTGGCAAGACAGTATCCAATGTGCCTTCCAAGTGGGGCGGCAAATAGTTACAGACGCCCAATATACTATACAGACTCCCCAGAAAATCTCCTTGAAGATTAGACTTTATGTGGCAGTAGCAGCAGGAAGGGCGGCGACGCAGATAAATTTCCGTTATGTACCTACATGTAGGAGTCTGCGTTCAAAATGGCTGCGGGGTTTTCCGACTCGAACAAGGGGCGGCGGAAGAAACGCTTTGGCACCTTGACCTTGTAAGTCCCCAAAGGAACCGTCCAAGACACGCGTTAACTGTCAGAAACGTACATGGCACAGCACTGGAAGGAATACTGTGCTGTACAGCGACAGAAGCTACGTTTTGAAAGGCCGCCCGCCGGACAGGTGTGCATGGTGCCACGGCGGCAGTGGACAAGTCCGTTAAGATGGACTTTAGCACGTAACCGAAATAACGGACCAACCAGTGTAAACTTTTATCGACGTCTTGTGACCGAACTTTTGTGTCACGAGATAATGCACTGATTGGCTAATCAACCTGTCACGTGCTGTTTACCTGTAGGTAATTTTTTTCTCGTCACGATGCTATTTTAAGCACTTGTTACCCCACCTCCTCCTGTTTGCCAAGGATCGACTTTGTATAACGCAATGGTATACACTATACACTCGTCTAGTAGCATAATATGGGCAGTCTGGAGCTTTATATGCATTCTCTGGAATGTGCAAGAGTTACCCACACAAAATGGAAGTACTCAAAGGTGAGAATACCCACAGAAAATGGAATAAAAAAAAACAGCGTCCCTGCCCGACGCGTTAGGCCCTTTATCCATCAAGTCCTACAAAGCTATACATACATTCTTACAAAATACCAATTAGCTTGCATATTACAACTGAATGGAAACCAAGCAGATGTGAGACGCATGCTATAGAAATCCCGAGAAAGTAATATTACCTCCCACTATCTGCTTGGTTTTCATAATCTCCAAGCAGATCATACGGTGGCAGTATCCAGCATCCATTGGCCAGAGGAGTGTCCATTAGCCACTCACGATCTGCCAGCAGTCAAATATTGGCTAATGGCCACTCCTCTGGCCAATGGATACCGCCTAGCCACCGTATGATCTGCTTGGAAATTAGCTATGACCACTTCTGCGATCAGCTGACCACAAAATCACGTTTTGACGTATAGCAGAAGAAATTGAATGAAGCAAATTTGAGGGAAGACAATAAGTAGGAACAGAATATGGACCGTATGGAGTCCATTCTGAAAACAAGTACTGATAGAACCTGATGAATCAAGACCATATTTTAGAGGCAGAGATTTCTTTATTGTGAGATGCTGCATAAAACATACCTCATAACAACTATGCCCAGAACTATGCCCAGAACTGTCCAAACTGGTACTTAATACAGACTAACAGAACATTGACTGTCTTTGCTTTTTATGACAGACATTAATTACTATTTTGTGGTAAAAAACATTAAGGATTTAATATTGACAAGTGCAGAACTCTACAAACATACTGTGCTTGGACTTTGAACATCTAAAAAAATTGGTATAAGATGAGTTTGGATATGACTATATGACAAAGAGGTATGTGTATGCCAACATAACAGTGATACTGGATTCAACTACATGCTAAGGAGAAAGTGAAGATTACAACATACTTACATGGATTGAAAGAAACATATTGTACTTGGCCCAAATCAATGTATGAATATCTGAACAGAACTAACAAGGTACATGTAACGTTACCGGTATTAGTGTTTGGCTCATCAGTAACCAACTACACATGGAACTGTTAGTCACTGTTTGTACTTTATAATAATGTTTTTATACATGTATATAATTCAAAGAACTTGGAATATTCAGGACAGTGGTTGTTTCTTAACTGAGTTGAAGAAGCCCTACCAATATATACAGCTATATACAGATTTAACAAGCCTGGTTAGTCAGAATTTAACGGTTCAGGCCTGGTAAATTTTGTACATGTTGTATAACTTCCTTGTCGTAGGCTACAACAAAACTGACAGTGTATAATGATCTATTATTATTATTATTATGCTATATTATGTTCATGCCCGTAGCCAAGATTTTGAATGGGGGGGGGGTTCTTCTCACTGCTCCAGGGACCAGCGAGCGCCGAAGGAGCGAGGTTCCTAAGGGGGTCCGGGGGCATGCTCCCCCGGAAAATTTTGAAAAATGAACCTTCTGAAATGGCATTTCCTGCCTTTTTAAGAGGATTTAAGAGAAAAAAAAATCTTTTTCTTGATTGACAAAGTAGGCAGTTTGTATACAATTCCAGGCCCACTGGTGATACGAATCAGTCTATCTAAAGAGAAGTATTGGACCTATGCCTAAAAAGTGGACCGAAAAGTGGACCTTTGAGCTTTGTGGGGGGTTCTTCAAACACTTGTGCTGTTTGGGTCTAAAACAGTCCCTTTTATATCCGCTTGTGACCTTTTGTATCCGCTTGTGACCAGCTTACTTAACATGTGGCCTTAGATCAGGTGATGTTTAATTTTAAGTGCAGTAACCTACTACTTGCTAAGGTCAGAACTGGTTTGTTACGTGAACAGTCAAACTGAAGACAGAAACTTGCTTCAATAAAGAATTCGAAAGCTGTTTTTTATAAATTATTTTCAATTTACAGACACTACACATTCACCCCATTGTATTAAGATTCATCGTTATAAGACGGAAGAGGGTGTTCACAATCCATCGTCTCATAAAGGTGTGTATTATCCAGCGCTATCGCCTGTATTACCGGATTACCACAATCCACCGTTAGCAACGTGGGCATTGGTAATGGGTTAGGCGCGAGGGATGATGGGAGAGGTTCAGTAGTGCACAGTATTAGTGAACGTGTGTAAAACAGCTCGGTCTAAAATATATACAATATCATTCGTTTAGGTTGATTATGGATTTCCTTTCATAGATCCCAGCTGATATTAAAAGCATTTGTGATGAGAAGGTTCGAACATGTGATGTCATTTTGAACTGCGTTTTGCGGTAACGGCTCATGAGAGCCTCTTGCGGAAGAATGACTAATTGCAGCAATAAATGCAATAGGCTCTAGATTTGGTCGTCCTTTTCTGTAAGTGTGTCGTGGAATTATTGTATAAATAACGATATATGGGAAAGAAAGATCACTTTAACTGCACACAAATACCAAATGAGTTTTGTTTTCAAACCTTCTTAATTTTGGAAATGACGGACTGTGACTGCGTAATGTCTTTACATTACAAGCTGAGGGAAATACTTTTTATATGTGTGGCTAACATTGAAATACACTTTGGTCCCGCCGATGCAACAGTTTTAACAACCACTGCCAAATGTATATACATATCTAAACAGCTTAAATCGTTCATTAACTCATAATAAGCCTCACTAGATCATAAAACTATATCAAAGCCCCTATTGTTTTAGTTATTTGGACGTAAAGTTTTATTCTTTACCTCTAATTTGTTGCCATACATTATACCATGAACAATTGTCGTGCAATGACGTTCTTCTTTCAGGCTTCCAACAGGTCAGCAAGGAACCTCTGCTCTGATCCTTGTCTCAGTGCCATACAGAGAACAGTAAAGGCGCGGTCTCCTCTAGACTGTAACGTTTCTAACAACTTCTTGTTACAGTCCGCCATGATGATTTCGCAGTCACGTGACGATGACGTAGACCTCCCGACATGCAACAGTTGCTCGGCGATGTCGTCATTGATGACGTTTTCCTGGACGAGCGTTGGCAGAAGGAATTTGGTGTTCATTTGAGACACGAGTGTGTCCCAGTGATCTTGTATCTTCTTCTTATGATATGCCGACATTGTAGATCCTGGCAAAAGAGAAGAAGACATTGAAGAAACAGGACTTTAAGAATGGTCAGGAGGGGTCAAAGACATTAGCATAAATGATTAGATTTCTCTCGCCCAATCATGAGAGATTTACCTGGAAAGGAAATATGGAAAAATTTAGATGTATGTTTAACTGCACACTGAAAGAAAGAAAAGTTCAATAAAAGTGCAGGCAAGTGAAGAATCTGACCTTTACGCGTGTGTATGCGTAAATAGTGGATTTTTGAGCAGTGAAATTGTACTGAAACTTAACATCAGTTTGTGCTCACCAGCGACTCCCGGCATATACAGCAACATTGTCTTCACGGTTTGTAGGCCAAAGGTGAGCGGGCAACGCAGAGAAGAGACACCTGGCGGACTTTGTCTGTATTGCCACTCCCCTGGGAACAAGTGAGGCCTTTCGACACCTACATGTACGAATAAAAGAATAATTCAATGCAGCGACCTGGCTTGTTATGAAGTTGACTGCAATATTAATATATTACTGTAGCATTTCATATATACTACTGTATATACTACACTCTATCACTTCTATCAATGTAACCTTAGGCGATGTTGATTTGATTATATGGATGACATCCGCGCGCGCATGAATTTTCGGCCGTTTCCAAAAAAAAAGTTTTCAACCACACTGTAAATCGTACAAAACAGTTGCAAAATGAGCAAATATATACCGTAAGTTGTAAAAAGAATATTAAAAAATGATACCAATGTCGCAAAATGCCAAAATCAAACAAAAAAGACGAAAATGTAAAGAGAAATGAATTTAAAGAGTAGATTATTCACCAAACCATACTCTGTCTCATTTTTTCAACCTTCATGACCACGCAGATTTCATAATGAAAAGAACTTTTTTTTTTTGCAAAACTTTTTTTTATTCGCACGCGCGCATCAGTTTTGGGGTTCCCAGAGGATGTCATCCATATAATCAAATCAACATGGCCTTATGGAGATTCCTCACTAAGTAGTCTAGTTTCAGATATATTTAGATACTAGTGACTATGGAATTAACCGGTCTAAAATGGTAACAATAAGCTCTCCTTACATGGGAATGTAGACACACGTCGTTCCAGCGAAACACGTTTAAACAAAGACTATTGTTGTCAATTTTATAGCCTTTGTTCTTTGACACAGGAACTATGAACTAGTCTATGGGTAAAATCACCCCGCACCTTGCTGTAGACAGTGAGGACACGTGGTGTGGACGGAGTACAGCAGGCCAGGCCATTCCTTCATGATGTCATGTAACAACTCTGCCATAGGAAACACTGCACCCCGCATCTTCATTATGTCTTCTGTGGTAGAAAAATGGTGAATTTTCACCGCACAATTCCGTTACAGATTTACCAATCTAGGCTACCCCTCAAAAGTAAAACCTAACCAATAGTCACCATTTGATCCCAATAGACACAGCGCTAGGGAGTCAAAATTTATGTGTTCCTTTGGTGTTTTTACATTCGTTGATGACACAATATGAATTAGTAATGAAGGTTTCTCCCTTAATTTCTATATAAATTTACTACAACATCTGTTTATTTCTAGAAAAGGTTGTATCTCCTTTTATTGACAGATGGTATCATGTTACCACGCTTGTAGATAGTAACATTACATGTTCCCTGTTTACTACGAAAACAGAAAAATTCCACATTCTATATGTGGTCGGATTCCAAAAGACACTAAATTGTGAACACAAAATGCTCTAACACCACTTAAAACACAAAAACAAACTGTATAACGGAAACAGAATATCGTATGGCCCTATGCATCCTGGGAAGGTGAAAAAGGTGAGTGAGAGTGTCTTAGCCCGTCCGCCATTTTGTTGATAATATTTTTCACGAGATTTTACAAAGGTCACGAGGCCACAGATCAAAGTTGCACAGTACTTGCAGCAATTTTGATTTTGGTCTTGGTTACTAACTGTAGTAAGCATTTTTTGTATCATAAATACCTCACAAGAAAACGGTAAAAGGCAGAACCATCCTACCATCAGGGCAGCCCCGTGTGCTGATCGAAACGTCCACCGATCTACTCCTTTTGCGAATCTTTATCAGGACAGGCATGTCCTTACAGAAACCCACGACGCCTCCTTTCCAGTCTTGGCGGTACTGCATATGGGGATGGATGTCAACGCAGAATCGTTCAAACAGACTCGGAGGGTAGAACCCACTGATCTGAAAAGTAGTGACAAAAATAATGACACCTTTTTCAACACGACAGCAATGAGACAGTCTTCTATTATGTACTTCTAAACCGCATTATGAGTAATGTATTTCTCTACATATTGAAAAATGAGGACGCCCTAAGTTTACCTACAATTTTTTATTGAAACAGAAAAACATAAAAACATACAAGATGACGTCTTATATTAACGGCGCCATCTACACACAAAAAATTAAACAGAGATATACTGATTACATGGACAAATGAACAAATATAGAAAATCGAAACAAGCTAATTCGGGTTTAGTAAATGGAATGGAATTCAACGAGCTCAAGTCCCGACCCCTATCCCGTATAATTACTGATAGGTCACGAGTAGAATAATTGAAGTCGAAAAGACGAAAAGATCAATCAGATACAAAACGACCACTTTTGATATGAAATTCTGAGAAAAGCTCATAATTTTACAATTAGTCTCAAAACTGCAAAAGGATGAAGATGTTCTAACGAATTATCAGATAGGGAATTTACGTCCAAAATGTGTACCACCACCCTTGAAAGTTACCTACAATTTGAATGCACAACATCGATAGTTGTTTCACTGTTTTTCTATTCATATAAAACATACCTGTAACAGAATCTGAAGTGTTTCTGTCGAAGGTATTCCTTCGTTCCAGATAACCTGGACACAGGGAGGTTCTTGGCTGTTGATGTACCACGGAAACCGGTAGGTGTCGCTGTTGTCACTGCTATCTTCTCTGTGACCGCTCTCGTTGTCGGCTGCACAGTTGTCCAAGACTTTGTGAGGTGTTGTGGTTTCTGAAATAATTTTTTAAAAATTAATACATTCATACATGTACAGGTCTTATTGCGCATTAGTACTATTGTTGTTGTTATTGCTTTGAAGATTTAATTATTATCAGAGACAGTCACTGACAAAAGCTAGTAGATACTAGCTGAAACGTCTGACGTTTTCAAAATCATATCCAGTTGCTTGAGTAACTGCTTTTTGGCGTATCGTATTACCTGGATGTCTAACCTTCATCGACGTATCAGAGACAGTTGTTTTCGAGACAAACGCTAAAGTAAGGGGTGAAGGAAGCCAAATACATCAGGGCCCATCACCCTACATTGAACCGCGACGGGGGCCGACATCGTCTACCAGATACCTTTGACCCAGTGTTGACGTCACACTTTAAAGAAGCCACGTGACAAGTCTACTGAGGAAGACCAGAGTGACTGGTCAAAAGCTCTAAGTGAGAGAATTTTTTTCTGTTGGACCAAAGGTTTAACTTTAAGCATGTAACTACCAACACAGATTAACTTTCATGATAGTAAACACTGAAGTAGTTCCTGTACACACAATACATACCGTCAGGATCACGAACAGCGTAGCAGAGTCCGAAATGCCTCATTAGATCCAGGGCAACCTCAACCTCGCCATCACCTACACAGCCCCTCAACAGGGCCTGCAGCAGGCGCCGCGTCATCAAACCACGTTCTCGCAGATCCACGCGAGACTGCTCCATCTCGTACAGCGTCATGTTGTACAGCCTCCCGGTGAGGCTGTCCTCGTTGAGTACCTTATAATGGAATAGAAAGAACATACTCCTAAAGTACAAGGCTATTCAAGGATTCAATTTCCCGCGTTGATAACTCAAAACTGTTCGTTCTTCTATGTTAGAGTGTTGGGTGTCGGAAATATTACAAAGTGAATATAAAAAAAAAACAAGATGTCAGGAAGGAAAGACTGGCTGAATGAAACGAGGAGTGACGCAATTCTCTACCACACATAACCGTTCATAAGATATTTTTATCACAAAATATGACTTCTTTGTTAGAAAGGTCACCACATCACACGTAAGAGAGGTTTAAAAAAATAAACAAATCAAAGATTGTTACCTTGCCCTCCATATCGTGGTTGAATATCTCCTTTAAAATGTCGACTAGTCTGGTTGGGTCGTGGAAGACGTACCCGCTGAGGTTGGGGCTGTTACCGTAGTACAGGATGCGGCCGGTACGGTGGAGGTACTGCAAAACTGGCTGTAGTCTGTATATAGGGATACGTATATCATGTATCGTTAATTACTTACAAAATTAGGCCCTAAGGTCAATTCCCTGTACGGGTTTAAAGAAGTAAAGTGAAGCAATGGAGAACATACAACTACTGTCTGATCAGCTTAGATAATGCTACTGTGTTTGCTGTTACTACGTCGTCTATGAATTCAGATGTGGATAATGAATAGTCCCGAATTCTGAATAATGGATTTTGTGATATTTGTACAAATGTAGATTTTTTTCGATCTTCTAGAAGGTAAAGGGATAAGAAGAACGTACGTGGAAACTGTTTGAAATGATTTTTTCTGTCGGTCTCGTAGTGAATATTGTATTCACTAATAAAATGTATGCCATTTCCCCGCATTCCTTGGATAATAGAAAGTTTATTGCAAATACTTGCCCGAGGGCTAATTGCAGTTACAAACAACATAGAAAGAAAATACAGTGATATGTGAGACTATATCTACTTCTAACATTATACTATATGCTACAACATGACATGACACTAGTTTCACTGGGTTTCACTTCTTCTTTTTAGGCATATACTTAATATCAGACGTCACAAACGGTGTTTTAATAAATTATGCTGTGGCATCAAGGCGTCAAGCATTCTCATGTTATATGCAGCTTTTAACAAGAAATTTCCATGTATGTTGTAGTGCTGCCGTCTGCTTTATGAAGTATTGAAACATACGGTACCTGTCACTCTCTAGTCCAGAATTCTGTCCAAGGTGCACACAATCTTCCCACGTGAGAAAGATTTTTCGCCCTTCTCTCTGAGCTTCAAGTTCTCCTTCCATCAGACTCCATGTCTTCGGTAGGGCGCGGCGTAAGGACGGATACAAGTCCGCTTCCTTCTCCACCAGAAGCGACAATCTGTCTTTGAGGTCCACAATACCCCGTAGCTCTTCTGCCGAGCTGACAGCTGAAACGCTTGTAGCGACGCGTAGCGGATGTTGTTGGAGGTACAGCAGATGCTCCAAAGTTTCCCGGATTCGTGGATCTCTCTGGTCCCCTTCACCGCCATCTTGAAGCCTTTTGATCTGGACTTCGACTTCATCTTTGAGCTGGACACATAACGTTTGAAGCTTGGACTCGACATCTCCGCATTTCTTCTTGATTTCTTCATCTTCACACAGATCCGAGTGTGTGCCGACCACCCAAACTGTGGACCCTGGCGCACGCGTGTTGACAGTCTTCACCCATGTCCCCACCGCCTTGTCAAAGTCATCAGACACGTACGCGTGAAGGTCAAAAGTGACGATGTTGAGGCCGCCATCTGTGATGAAATACTGGTGTGACATGTAGTACACCTCATGCCCGCCGAAATCGTACACTTCAAACACGACGTCCTCACTAGGTGACCATCGGACGATGTTGACGCAGTGTGTGCGGTCTTGCATGCCAGTAAGGTTCGACTTGCCTTCAACCAAAGCGTTGATGAGACTTGTTTTCCCCGCTAGACTTTCACCGATCAATACGATTTTGAGCCGCGGAGTCACAACAGCCTCAGACCGTTGAAGTTCATCTTGGTACGCCCGTATGGCAAGTATGCCTTGCTCGCATACCTCTGTGGGGGGTTGGGTTAGAGGGTTGCCGTGCAAGCGAACCTGGGCAGACATTAAGGCCTCTCCAAAGCTGGGTGGAAGACTGGTTATGTTGTTGTACTGAAGAAAGAGCCCCTTTAATCGGGAGAGCTCCACAATGCTGGGAGGGAGGCGTTCAATGGCGTTTCTGGAAACGCTGAGGACGGATAGCGATCTAAGCTTCCCAATCTGTCGAGGAAGTGACGTTAGTTTATTTCCGCTTGCATGAAGGTCAATCAGGTTGGGTAAGTCGCAAAGGCTGTCGGGAAGCTCTACAAGTTCATTACCGTCAATAAAGAGAGATTGAAGGTGACAGAGCTCTCCGATGTTTTGCGGAACCAAGGTGATTTTGTTTGCTCGCAGATTCAACATTCCGAGCAACTTGAAATTGAAAATCACGGGCGGAAAAGCAGTGAGCTCGTTCATGTCAGCGATTAGAGTCTTGAGCCCTTTGAACTTGCATAACTCCTTAGGAAGTTCTTTAAGTCGTCTTGCGTTGATGTTAAGAAGTTCTGTCTCGTCAGGGTTGACCTCAAACCCGAGTAGGTCAAACAGGGGATCGTTCGGCTGTGCCATGGTGTGACTATTGATGTGTGATGTTAGATCAATATATTATCAGTTTGAAATGGCCGCATGGCGAGTCGTTTTCCCGATTGCGACGATGTACATGTAGATGTTTGTTTCGCATTCCCAGTAAAACGCCAGACCAATTTTGTACAGTAGGTACAGGCGAAAAACTGTAAAGGTTTGATCCATTCACACCTGGCACGAATGGATTCTTACTCCTTTCGATACCCCTCAACCGCGGGGCGTTAGGTCACAGGGCTCAAAGTTGTCAGCCAACGCCCTAAAGAACCAACACAGCAGACAAACATGATGACTCAGGCTGGCACTGACTGCAGGGCTAAGGCCACACCGACTTAATTTTATGGATGACATCCGCGCGCACATTGATTTTCGCCTGTCGCCCTAAGGAATAAAAAGATCACCTCCACCGAGGCTCTGGCCTGGCTCTAGGCCTGGGTAGTCAGCGACAAAACGGAGCCGAGCACCCAGGCTATCGAATTCGAAGCTCCACGACTCAAGAACTCAGTACATAAGTACAGTACCGATTCATAAATGCCGCAAAAAGCCTGCATGTGCCGGTTTGTCGTAAAGGTTGCTAAGTACTGTCGCGAATTCACAATAACAGCTTTGTATTCCTGCGGTTTAGTAGCCGATGATTTTTATTTTTGGATGGAATTTTTTTTATTCGCCCGCGCGCACTAGTTTGGGGGTCATCCATAAAATTAAATCCTTGTGGCCTTAGTTCAGAATATACACTACCTCGTGTGTCAAACATTAAAACAACAGACATTTTCAATGCATCTTCCGAAGAGTATGTAGCTAGGAAATAGATAATAGTATGAACTAATAGCTTCACTGTACTACTCATACACAAGGCATGCATTCAAGTGTAGGCATACAAAGGTATGCGAAAAGTAAGGCATACAAGTATGTACCTCTAGAATTATCGTAACGGTTATTTTGAACACTCTGGGGTAGAGAAAAGTTTAACCATCCTTTTATACGCTGGGCAAGACGAAGAGAGCTAGATAAACGTTAATCACTACAGAAAGATGCACAGGATGACACACAAGCACAACGTGTAGAACACTAGCCGCGATTTACATTCTGCTAGACTAGGAAACATCAGGAAAAAACGTTTCTCCCAAACTTGGCACAGGCATGGTGTATGTACCTACAAAGATAAAATGGTTAGCCTACCTTCTTTTACTCGCCTTCTGTTGTATATGAAATACGTCGCATAAACCCTGCCGTTGTACAACCGTTCAACGATTTCGCACTGAGTGAAACTTTTGGTGCACAAACCATACTTCCTGGTGGAAAGGTCATTGGTATGTACCACTATGTGAAGGGGTTGGAGAGGTTTCTAAGATAATTACCTGTTCCAAAAAATCTAGCAACACTGATGATTGCTGATAACATATCCAGAAATCCACTAATTTTTCTTCTCATTGGTATACATCAATCATGATATTGACATTAATTATTACAGGTTCGCGATAGCGGAACCTGTTCTACGTTACCTCGATTTTATAGGCGCCGCCATTTTGTTTCCCGTCATGCAATGGGGCAGGCCAAAGTTGAGTGAAGTGCATTGTGGGACCTGTCACCGGGCCACAGTGTAAGGACGACGCCTAGCGGTATGTTTGGAAAGAGCAGTAACTGAAAGCCTACATGGTTGTGTGTTCATTTTGATAGGAGTGTATAGAGGCGATGGCTTTGGCGTAATATACGCTGATTGTGTTTAGCACTTGCAATTGAAGTTCAATGTAATTTTCTTAGCATGACGGGAAGGAAACATGGCGGACCTAAGGTTTTTTTTTGGATGATGAGATGATGAGATGATGAGGCTTTGGTATTAGTAGGGTGGTCTTGTGGATCTTGTCGGAGGCCGAAGCTAGGGACGACAGATTGTCCTCAAGTACAGGGTCAGTAGGTGGGATAATGAGATGAAGTTGGGGGATGTGATTTTGTCCATCTGAATATTAAGCATCCTGAAACCTGTCCTGTCTAACATTCATAACAGAATAGTCCTTTTTTGTCTGACTGACCTAGGACCTAACTCTAAGAAGTGACAAACTGAGGAATGGACACAGAGACTTGCTTTGGTCAAGACTTTTAGACTTGACCTCTGACCTTGCAGTGGGAGACACCTGTACTAGGTCATCTATTACAGCTGTAGAGCCAGGGAACTCCTGTTGCACATGATCATTGGATATTGTACAAAAACTATGCAGATGTCCTGCTATAAATACCATACATGCCTCCCTTGTATTTAAGATATTATTATATAGCAGTGAATCATTGAACAAATCTTATATGGCCGTTGTACTCGTTAGTTTGATAACTGGATGTACCAAATAACAGCAATCAGTTTCGATTACAATATAGACTGTCTATCATTCTCCAGTCTATGGCTACTGGAGAAGCCCAGTGTAATGAAATAAGTGACAATACAATTGAACTAGTTGTTGTTACAATGACTGTCGTTCTTTATGCTCAAATGTTTTGTTGTCACTGTCCTTGTACTAGGACTATATGATGGATCCAGACAATCAACAATTTGGTCAAGGGGTGGTCCTCTGGCTAATGTCTTTAGACATTATGACATTTGGTATCGATCATGCAGACTCTATTGTCTTTTGCGTCCTTCTACTGGACATCGAAAAGCACGTTCACATTGGCTTCGTCGCATCGGCTGTGCCAGGAACTGCCGTCACGTCGGTCTCAGGCGGTGTGACTGGCCTCACAGCTCTCCCAGGACCGGGAATGGATGTCTCAGGGCCGGGGATGCAGACGTTGGTTGTTTCGGGGGATTAGGGTGTGTCCGGCGGTGGCTTGACGTGGACGGTCTGCTCCCTAATGCAAGGGAAGAAGAGAAAGTGCCCGGGGAAGTACATCCTGGGCCAGATGGGTGGCTGACGTGTCAGGTCCATCAGTGGTCGGCTTCCCCGGATCAGGAACGGAAGAGACGGTGCCCGTTGGCCGTCGTGT